GCCCTAACTTTTCCTCCTCCGCCTCTCCTCTCTTCTTCACCTAATCTCTTTCCCGGCGTAGATCTCTATCAAACCAAGATTTTTCTTTCTGATACTCTTCAATTTGTACCAAGATCTCTAGAGAAAACCACACGCAAAAGCTTATTGTACGAAACCCAGGAAAAAAAAATTAACTACGGCGATAAAAGGGGAATCCTGAATCCGTCCCGCTCTCGAATGGCAATGGAATGGCACCTTATGATATTGGCCAAAATTCGGACGGAATATTTAGCTCCGACGGCCCGATCCTTCCGCCTCCAACTGAGTTGCAATCAGAAGAAGGCTTCGCTCTTCACGAATGGCGGAGGTCAGATTTCTCATATTAGTTTAGTACCTTTTTATGTGAATATTTATTATTTGATGTGATCTATTGCTCAACTAAAGACATCCTCTTGATTTTCTAATCAGGTTTGTTCTATCAAGTTATTTTTATTTGTTTTGAAGAGGTCTTTATATTTTTGGACTTCAAGATTTGTTCTTTCGTATACTTTAACGGTTCATTTGATTGGCTTGAGCTGAATCTTGGAAAGAAAATGGTGAAACTAAGAACAAGATTACAGAAATGGTGTGACTTAAAGGATATAGCTGAATTATTCAAGTATGATTTTGGATCTTGGCATTGCATTTTTTTTTTCTTGGAAGCATTTATTTGTTCTCCTTTAACTTTGTCAAATTATTTTGTTTTCACATTAGTTTTGATGTTTAAATCTATGTATCCAGTTGTAAACACGAGTGAAAATAGATCTCAATCTTTTATGTTACTTATTGCTTTCACATGGCTGTCTGGTTGGGAGTATGGAAGTATTACTTTGGGAGAATCTCTATTACTTTGGGAGTATGGAACTCAGTATTGCTTGTCACTATTTAATTGAAATGTATATGTTTGTCTATAGCACTGAGTACTCCATATTCCAGGAGTATTAGAAATTCCTCACTTCCCAAAAGAATTATTAGCTTGTTCAAAAATTCAGGTAGTGAGAAAAGTATGGATTTCAAGAAGAATTCTCTGTATTAAAATTACTAAATCCTGAAGTTTTTAAAACAAAATCACACCTTGGAGATTTCTGTTCAGATCTGTTGATTTGAACTCTTGAATTTGGTTTGATGCATTGTGGTGTTTTTTGTGGATTTTTAGGTATGTTGTTTGGGAAGAAGCAAAATTTATTGTTATCAAGCATCACCAAAACCTGTTTAATCCTAGGTTGGGTGCTGAAAATTTTATGCTGAAATTAACTGGTGTAACACATTTTGAAGCTAAAGATGGAAGGCCTTCTTATTACCATTGATTAGGAGTAGTAGTAATAAAGACTGTAAATGAGCAGAATAGTTTATCTTGGATTATGGAAAGAAATTAACTTTAGTAATACTTTGCAAATGCCTTAACGAATGCATCACTGAGAAGTAAACTGAAACAGTTGGTTTCTGCTATGATGGATGAGATTGAATCTTTGTAGAAGTGGAAGACACTGATATTGAGCGGTTTAATTCTTGGAGTCAAATATAAACATTAAACACATCATCTTGGAGATTGATCTAAGTCTGTTGTTGTACAGCTGTGTTTGAGGGAATCAGTTTTGATGCTTGGTTCTCTGGTTATGAACTAGCTCTTCAGTTCTCGACTTTCTTGTTGGTCTTCTAATTCAATTGATGATTAAACTTTAGTGTAGATGAAATTGATTTTTTTTCAGACTGCATATGCAATTGGATGTTGAGGCTTTATTCTCCTACTTTTAACAAACTTCAGATTCCATCTAGATGCACATTTCGCTTGTTTTTAGGTTTCAACATACCCATTTTCTATATTTATATCTAACGCTTCTCTACTTGTATTTTGGAAACTTAACGCTTTCTCTACTAAAAATGAACTTCTAGTAAGGACACATTTAAAAAATATTGACTGTAAATAAGATGCTGATTTCTTGTGTTCTGCAAACCTCGCTTCTTATCCTATGTATTCAAAATTTAACTTATTTTTCTCATTCGATTATAGCTTTCAGTTGTCTGAATTTAGTTTAGTTTATTATATACTCTCTTCACAACACAAGACAACCAAGTTCTCTTTTCTCATTCAGGCTGGCCAAGAATCTTTCAGATCTATCACTAGATCGTATTACAGAGGAGCAGCTGGTACTCTACTTGTTTATGACATAACCAGGTAGGTTAGTATATGTTCTGTTCTTTCCCCTTTTCATGCTTAGAATGAACTCCTGAATGATGTTCAGTTTTATGATCTTCTGCAGTACTCTGGCTGCTTTCATTTTTCTGACAAATAAGATTCCATACACCTTTAGGTAGTTCTTAGGAGTTTACCCATTGTTTCCCTTTATGTTTTAACATGAAGCAAGTTTTCATTTCAGTTTGATTCTGATCGTCAAGTTGAAATTTGTAGGGGTGTGATACTGTTTTTGTGACACCAACAGCTCGAACAATTGACATTTCTCATGCATGGGTTATGGTAATTGATCTTCAATTTTGTGACAAAGTAGTTGGCATCTTCAGTATCTATAATTATCTTATATGCAAGTCTTTTTCTAATTCATATGTTACATTTACAGAAAAATGCAATTACGCTGGTGGTCTCTCCTGTGACCTGTGGAAGCATTACTGAAATGCTTAGGAATTATGTCCATACAACTAGAGAATTGTATAGCTTATGCTTTTAGAATTGTATTTTTGGTGTGGCTAAGTTACGTAACAATATGTGATTCACTTTTTTGTTTATAGATCTATTATGTAATATGAGTTAGCTAGCTTTCTCTAGCTGTATCACATTTTAATATTCAAGTGTATTGATTCAGAAATTTGTAATGCAATTATCTATTTTTAAACAATATCAAATTTTGTTCACAAAGATTTATTTTCAATTTTGCTATTCAATTTACATGTAAATTGCTGTTATTAAAAAAAAAAAAGGCAACGCTTAAAATACGTCGCAAAAGACTTTTTTTGCAACGTTTAAAAAATGATGCCTTATCTCTTCCCTCATCGGCAATATCAACCTTTGCAACACATGCTAAAACGTTACAAAATGCCTTTTGCAGCATTTTTTGGCCGTTGCAAAAAGTGATTTTTGGTGTANAATTTTTATACAATTTCAAAATTTGTTTACATAGATTCATTTTCAATTTTTCTATTCAATTTACATAAATTGCTGTTATTTATAAAAAAAAAAAAAGAAAAAGAAAAGAAAAGGCAACGTTTAAAAAACGTTGCAAAAAGGTCTTTTTGCAACGTTTTTTAAACGTTGCTGTATCTCTTCCCTCTTTGTCAACACTGAACTTTGCAACACATGCTAAAACGTTGCAAAAGGCCTTTTACAGCGTTTTTTCGCAGCTGCAAAAGGCCTTTTTTGGCGTAGTGACGTCTTGCTAAAATGAGTATTCCTAGGTACCTATATGGAGAAGGACATGATTGTGGTGGTGGTTTTATGGCGGTGGAAGTTCAAAGCAGGATTCGACAGTTTTTGATGTCGACGAAAACGTTTGGATATAGTAACGACTTTTGTTCTTCATCGATTTTGGCACCGATCGGAGGCGGAGATGAGGTTGTCTCGCTGTTGTCAATGGAGGAAATTGGAGATGGTAATGGAGAGGTTTGGAGGGTTTTCAATTTGGGAGAAATGAATGAGTTCTGAATTCCTCTATCATCGATTTTTAGGGAAGATGATTTAGGATGTGCATGTGATTAAGTGGGGAGGATTTGAGAGTATTAATTACGGGAGTAAAAGTTTTAATTAGTTTCAGGGAATTGTTCTAACTGATTAATTTTGGAGGGTATTGGACCTAATTATCCCTAATATAATAGACTATAGTAGGATACTTTCAAACATAAACTATTAAAAAAAAAAAATACTTTAAACTTATTTCTAACAAACTATGTTGCATTGCCCACCACCACCACAACTATTAACACCATTATACAGTGTAGCACTTGTAATACCTAGAGTTATGCCATCGCTGTCGCTACTACCAGTTTTCTCCAACATAAGTCATCACATGCAAAATCCTAGCCATCTTAGTGACCACCACCATGCTCAAAATGGAGCATCTATGCCGCCACCACCACCACCATTGCCTACCTTCACAATAAACCACCACCTCCAAAACTCTAGCCCATCCCAACCAACATCACTACCACCAGATATACACCACCACATCAACCCAATCTTCAAGCTGCCACCAAGAATCAAAAGAAGTTATAACCTTTCCCATCATTGCACCTTCATCTCCACCAATTTTGCCACCATCCTCGCCATCAAGAAACTAAAAGAAATCGCCAAATTCTAACATTCTCCATCTTCACACCATCTCCGCCAACACCACCATTCCACTACATGACCACCACCATCCCATCAAATCCCTACACCCACCACAAAAAAATCAGATATCAAAGAGAAAAAAATAGATTTGTAATTGCAGATCGAGAACTACAAAGAAAGAGACGATAATTGCAAACCTAGAACTCCAAAGAAGTGGAAGAGTTGTCACCTGTCTTACTAGAGAAATGGATCCTACTGCAGTCAATATGAAGAACGTGACCAACAATGCTTCCATACAACAACTCCTACGCCAAATACAAGCATAAGAATGTATGAAAATGCCCCTAAACATGCATTTTACGGGCTTCTTCCAGCCCTCCCACCTAGGTCAGTGGAAAATCAACGAGGGGAAGAGGAAGAAGTACAAAGTGATCGACCTCTAAATCGGCGGAGGGTATTATGATTTAAATCAGTATAATAATATGGCAATATGAAAAATAGATGAAACAAGATTACAAAATTTATGTGGTAAAAATATAATACGGGTTGAAGAGGAGAATTTTATTAATATCAATAATGAAGGGTTACAAATTATTGTGTAGAATGTAAGGAATGATTTTTGTAGAGGTATACTCTTCATATATGTAGTGCAAGAAGAGCCAAAGGTGTGGTGGAGTTCAACTATAATTAAGTCTACATAATAATGAAGTGTTTGGGATAAAATATGATTCAAAAACTAGCAAAAAATGCGAACATGACTTTTCCTGAATAAGATCATTGTTCGAGCAGCGGTTTTGCAGCTATCAAGTGGTGGTCGGCTACTCGAGCGACCGCCTTGCGGACATTGAATTTCGAATCTTCTATTTTAGGTGGTTGAGCGAGACCAAGGTGCCTAGAAAGTTTCGTTCACTGTTTCCATCTCCTTACATAATTTCTTTTCTATTGCAAATTGGACTCCTTCAAGTATTCTTCAAGTCCAACACAAATTCTGAAGTCTCACATAACTCCCAAAATGAATTCTAACTAGAATTCACAAATAGACTTCAACTAGAATTCTCAAGTAGATTTCAAATAGAATTCCAAATAATTTTTCAAATAAAATTCGGATCACACCCTAATTCTAACAAATCTCCACATTGAAATGAATTCCACTCCAACAAACAAAATTTCAAAAATTCTCCACTTGGAGTCAATTTCCACTGCAAGAAATAAAACTTAACTCTTCAACCAAAAATCTTCAAACGGGAAAAATTCTTCACCTCATCCACAAAACCCAACTAGGTTAAGCTAAATAATTGGAAAAAGAAAATCAACTGAATTCAAGCACTGCTCAACAAGATTACCTTGGGCACCAAAGTTACTCGAATTATCCCCACGAGTAACAAAATCACAAATAATTTAATATTTACCAAACAAAGCATAAACATATTTTATAACAAAATCAACAACAAATACTTCTGGAGAAGGTTATTTGTTAGACTTGACACCTTTGACTGCACTTAAAGCATAAACAACAAAATCAGCTTCGGCGTCCTTTATGGAGTATTGTGTGTTTGGTTGGAGAAATTAATTTTTTTGTTATTGTTGAATAAGCCGTTTATTCCTTGGTAGAATTCGTGTCAAGGTGGAGATTGTTAGAATTTGGGTGTGACTCGAATTCCTTGTTAAAGTAATTGAAGAATTGTAATTGAAGTACACATCAAGAAGAATTCAGTTTGGAATGCTATTAGAGTCTTATATCAAGTTGAAGTTCTATTTTGGAATTACACTGTGAATTGAAATTTGTTTTGGACTCAATTTTTTGGCATTCTACTTCATCAACAATTCTACTAAGAGGGTTTGAATGTCCCCTACATGTTCCCTATAAATATTGAGCTCTTCTATACAATGTTATGGTGTGGGAAAATATATTACTAAAATTATAGGATCTATTGTAATTTTTCCCTCTTCTCCATTGTTCTTGAGTTAATAAAATCTCTTAATTCCTCTATCATATTCTTATCTTTATTATTCTTTTCTTGATCATATATTTCATTATTATTTGTCATATAACTTCAATATCTCAATCCGGTGGTTTGTTTCACAACAATTGGTATCAGAGCTATTCTGGTATCTTATTTGTTTTATAACACTAATGATGTTAGTAAAATCATAATAAGGTTGACGCACTCGAATGAGAGGGGTAAAAAATAAGTATAATGCATTCAGTAGGTTAATTACTTTTTTCTAGTAAGCTGACTTTTTGACTTTTATCTCAATTAAAAATGAGCAAGAATAGCAACATCTTCTCGACTAAGGAAAGTACCTATCCAATCCCATGTCAAGTCAGTGGCCTGCTTATTCAACTGTTGTATCTTTTGACAGATTTTATTTTCCTTTCAAGAAAGTATAAAACTTTGTTCTTACTTTTTTGGAACCAGAAATAATTAAATTTAACTCTTTAAGTGAATGTGCATAAAGAGAACTTCATTTAGATGTCAGACATCCATAATTTAAAGTGAAAGATTGCAAAACTAAAGCAAACGAATGCAATAAAGATTGAGAAAATCAATGTCTGCATGTTTTGATGTCCCCAGCTAAAAGTAAAGTTGATTTACTTTATAAGTTATTTTGTCAAAAATATTTCTTAATTACTTCTCAACGAAATAAGTCTTGACCTGTCTTCTAGAAAAATAATCACATTACGAATGCAAAAACAACATTGCAGAGTCGAAAACTAAATCTAACTCGGGGGTAATTAATTCGAAAGTTTGATTAATAAGAAAATCAAAGTTATCAAACGATTTTACAGAAATTATGCCACTAAAGCAACCTTTGTAGTCAGCATGAATCACTTAATATGCATATATATGTACATTCTTTACAGGCTGAAGTGTTTCTTTCTCTTTATTTTTTAATAATAATAGAATAATTAATTGGTCAAAAAATTCAAAATAGCTAAAATCAGACAACAATCATGAGTCTGTCAAATATCTAATTAGGCGTATGATGACACAAAGTATGATTCGAGCAACGAATTTTAACGTATGTTTGACAACAGTCAAATAATTTTTTATCTACATATTTTGGGGTACCCATAGATACTACTCTTATCCATAGCTCATTTATATGTGTTTATAAACACAATTTTTTAATAAATACTCGCCAAAAATATGCTTAGTTTCCATTCTCGATTTTTTGATTCTTAGTAAGCTTATTGTTTTGGAGATGAGCCTCGACCATAAAACATGTCACCACTAGCTGGTTTAATTAGAAAAAAAGAAGCAGCAAAAAGTCACTTCTAGAGTCCTACCATTGCTATAAAAAGCCATCTCTAAGGAAAACCCTCCGTGCATGTCTCAAATCTTTCTCTAACACACACACAAAACACAAAAGACACACAGAGAGGGATCGATTATATAGCTTAGAATGTCTGCAAGAGACAATCTGAATTTTGTTAAAGATGGAGTGAGTAAATTGCCTCCAGGATTTCAGTTCGAGCCGACTGATGAAGAGATAGTTTTCCAGTACTTGGCGCGTAAAATATTTTCCCATCCTTTGCCTGCTTTAGTCATTCCAGAAATCAACATTGGGAAATTCGATCCATGGGAATTGCCAGGTTTATCATTTTATTCTTGTACGTGATGGCTTATTTAGCACGGTAGATGGTATAAATATTGTTCTATATAATGTTGAGTCGTGTTTAGTAAGCGCATCACAGATATATAGGCTCTGTTTGTTTTGGATTAAAATCAGATTTTAGTCTAAATCAAAGTCAAACAATCAATATTAACCACATCTTTCATGGTCCCACAACTTTTCAATCACACATTTCAAAAACTTCTATTACAATCTACTAAAACTTTAATTTTAATCCCCACCAAACACTCACATAATTATAACGTGCGCAACTTTACTATGTAGGTGATTTCGAACAGGACAGGTACTTCTTCAGCAAAAAGGAAAATGGAAACTCGACGAGTACAGTGACTTCTGGTGGTTACTGGAAAGCGACTGGGTTGGACAAACAAATCACGTGTTTGAAATCGATGCCAATAGTCGGAATTAAGAGGACATTCGTATTCTATAAGGGGAAGAACTCGCGAGCTATTTCAAGAACTGATTGGCTCATGCATGAATATCACATCGCCCTTGTTGGAAACACACAGAGTACAAATTCTCAGGTAACTTTTACCAGCTTATCCCTCATTCTTTGACACTCTTACATGTCATCCATCGATCCCAAATTCTCATATCGTATCATTTTAGGTGTATTTTGACTTTAAAAGTATATTAGACATTCTATACATAAACAAGTAATAGGCGTTGCTCTAATATATATCTAGCATAGAGGGTAAGTACATTCTTCTATTAAACCACTATAGGTGGCATGTTTT